CTCAAGATCTTTTGAGAGATGTCGTCGTGTTGAAGTGGGCTCAAAATGGGCCTACGATAACGACGAAGATGAACGCGACAATTCACGACTGACTTGGTTAGACTATCGACGCTGTGGGCGGATTCCCGCGAACGGAAATTCGCTAACACTGGTTCTATTAATTTAGGTTCTAACATTATTCTACGTTTCCAGTCATACTCACGGAGAAAGACCTCAAAAAAGATGACAAACATTTCCCGGTATCCGTGTATATTCTGCGCCTCCCCTCTTTTATTTCCAGAACTTCATGCCCGTCGACTTTGCCTGTCAACCACTGTACTGCTTAAACGAATTGTTTCAACTCGTAAAATATCAGTATTGACTCAAGCGAGAGTTCATCAAAAGCGTATTTCACAACATAGTTAAAAATAACGGGCTTCAAAACGTTCGATCCAGTGTCAGGACGGCCGTTAACGCAGAACTTGGAAAGAGGCTACCTATGTGTTTTTTTTTTTGCGTACATCTAGTGTAATTACGTATATGTGTTCATATTAGACTTTTTTTCAACTGCGTATGCACGCGACTGCATTTAAATAAATCACCTGCCCTGCATACCGAGACTGCTCACGTATAGGCTATACCAGGCTACAGTGAACTAGAATACTTCTACAGTGAACTAGAAAACCTTCTAGTTCACTGTAACCAGGCAGTATAAGGAGCTTCGACAGAGAACGGTTTTCTGCACCACTCACTCCGTTCAGCAAGCGAGCGCCTTTCAGCGTTATGGCGCACGTGACTGCCATCGATGCACGGTGACCACGACTGCTCCACAGAGCGGCCCCAGGCTGACCCCATCTGAGCATCGCTCGCAGCCTCGTTTCTTAGCCAGCTACACTGTATACAACGCGGCGTGCGTCGTTTCAGAAGCGGCGCCTATCTAGGCCTTCGAACCGTTCAGCGAGTTTCCGAGGCTGCTCGACTTTGCGATCCATTTAGATATTATTCAAATGTCCCCACACGAGCGTATTCGAAGCGAAATGCACTGTGTATCGAAGCCGAAGTGACTTCAACGCCTTTCAAGAATGGAAACATAAAACCCTTACCCGCACAAAAAATGTATGCATTGATCCCTCTGAGTTGGAATATCTTGAACTCGGAATCATGCCATCCCGCAAGTCACTTTTATATGCCGTATCGATATATATTGTTAAATTTCCGGGCATGCTGTAGAGCGCCGTCTTTATCGAGGCCACAGGCCCCCATGTTCGCACACCGCGGCGGAACAGTGGCTCCGGTGCTCGTCTGCTCAAACCAAAGGACGCGGGTTCGACTCCGGCGGCGGCGGTCGCATTTCGGTGCATGACGCGAAATGCTAAAGGCTTGTGTACCGTGCGGTGTCATTGCACGTTAAAGAACGCCAGATGGCCGGCATCTCCGGAGCCCTCCACTACAGGGCGTCCCTCATAATTATATCATGATTTTGGAACGTAAAACCGTTATTATTATTATTATTATTATTATTATTATTATTATTATTATTATTATTATTATTATTATTATTATTCAAATCTGCGTGCCAGGTGTTTGGAATCTCCGCGCCATCACGGACCAGGCTATACATTCAGCCTACGTTATCAGCAGAAACGGAAGCGATGAGTGATAAGAAAAAAAAAATACGATCGAGCGAATTGAATACTTACATCGAATCTGCGTGCTCAGGAATGAGGATTTCGGCAGGTTGTATACTTCGTCTGCAGTTGTACGATTAATGAGAAAATCGACGTTGCCTGCAAGGTTCTTATCAGCCGAAGTAAAGACACCAATTATTGATCAAATCTAAAAAAAAAAAAACAGTCAAAGCTCTTCGTTACAGACGTACGCAGGGTTACCCTGCAGGAAGAAGGAGGTGGCGAAAGTTTGTCGCAGCGCCTCCCCCCCCCCCTCCCATTTTACACAAAATCGGCCAAAAATAAATGATAATGAGGATGTAAGTTTAACCCTAAAACTGACCCACTTCATTAAAGGAAACTGCAGCTTTGGCTGACGCACAGTCATTTTTCCCCCAAGACCCGCCATAACCTTTTTTTTTTTTGTCTTTCATTAATTCTGAAGGCCTTTTTCTTTTCTTTTACAGCGCATGCAAGATTTACAAAAAAAGGGATAGAACAATCAAGGGGAAAGATGGCCGACTTCCAAGTTGCTTGTATGCGCTGTCGAAACCTTCAGAATTGATCGCTATGAATTCAGTCGAGCTTCAACCCTCACGAGCTACATTTTCTATCATCTGTCGCAACATTATCATTTTAGCAGTTTTCATTATAGGGAGCTTTTTTCCGTCCTGCAATCCACGCTTCCTGCCGACTGCCGCAATGACTTCCCAATCACGCGCGCCTCGATAACAACGCGGAAAAAGAGCACATCCGCGGACTTGCTTACGTATGGGCCTGTTAAGAAATTTGTACCCAGCGAACGCAACTGCGGCGCCTCACTCTGTGCAGGAATGACGTCCTTTTTGAAGTCAAGCTTCGGGAGAGGCAGACGCTTTTTTTTGTTCGCTTTCTCGCTTCGTTGCACGTAACTGTCGCTCCGAGAAATGGCTCCTTATGAGAGAGAGCGCGCGGCGGCCCTTTTGACGCTCTCCAAGAAGCTACACAAGAGCGTTCGTAGCGCAACAGGTTCGGCACTAACTGCGAAGGCCCACATCGTGATGTGGAGGGCAGAAGAGAAAGCGAGCAGCCCGTTATTAAAACGCGGCATACCGTGGCGCGACCCTTGAGCCCCCCCGATACCCTCTCCCCTCCCCACGCCACCTTTCTTTCTTTCTTTCTTTCTCTCTCTCTCTCTTTCTTTCTTTCTTTCTTTCTTTCTTTCGTTCTTTCTTTCTTTCCCTTTGCATCACGTCACTGTACGCCATCGTAACCCCGCTCAACAACCTGTGCACTAGCCGATCTGGGCTGGCCAGTTTTCGCGGCCGCTTGCGAGCCCCGAGTCAAGGCGGCGCACGCTGCTGCAGTTGGCGCGTAGAAAATGCGAGCGCACGTCAGCAGAGAGGCGCACGCTGCGTAGTTTCTTTGATCAAGACGTGTTGGTCGCGAATAGACGAAATAAAAACAAACAAAAAGAAACCCCTGTAACGAAACCGCTTTCATCGTTTTTTGGGCACGAAGCGGCATTTTGTAGCAATGCACAGGTAAAAACGATCGCAACTTTTCAGCCAAGCTGTCGCTATTTATCTACCTGCTATAACGTTTGCCGTTATTTAGGAGCTATTGAACAGCCAGCGGTATACTACTATTTAGTGTTCAAGTCGACTGATCGCAAAGATTCGTTCGATACGCAATCACGCGTTTTATTCCTTCATCATCCGCAGCCTATTTTTCGTATCCACCACACTTCTTCACGCAGCATCTGCGATCTTCCTTGTCCTGCGCTAAAGGATGTCAGGCATTATAGTTCACTACACCACACATATAATGCCTGCAACTTTGATTGATATGGGTTGTTTAACGTCCCAAAACCACCATATGATAATGAGAGACGCCGTAGTGGAGGGCTCCGGAAATTTCGACCACCTGGGGTTCTTTAACGTGCACCCAAATCTGAGCACACGGGCCTACAACACTTCCGCCTCAATCGGAAATGCAGCCACCGCAGCCGGGATTCGATCCTGCGACCTGCGGGTCAGCAGCCGAGTGCCTTAGCCACTAGACCATTACGGCGGGGCGCAAATTTCCTTACTTCATCATGTTACCCAACACTCTGCCGTCCTGGAGAGCATTTCCCTTCCATTGGCTCAAGTTCTCTAACAGACCACCGGCTACCTGGGCCATAATGGATTACATGACCTTCCCAGCTCAGCCATGCAGGGGTGCAGGCCGACGCTATTCTAACACCACACAGCACGTTTGATGCGGTGCGACTAAGTTCTCTCGTGACAACGGGCCAATGTGGCGAATTCTGTAAAGAGCTCCTAAGAGTACTGAGCGCAGCGAAGTTGGGGATATATACACCTCTAGATCTCGTCCTGCGAGCGTATTTTCACCAAAGGGCCGAAACTTAAGGAAAACATGAAAAAAAAGAGGGTTTCCCCACGAACGCTGTGAAGAGATTGTGTACGGATGATTTTCTGTGCACGGATGATTTTCAACTGAGTGATTGGTATACTTGTACCAGGGAGAGGGGGGTATTCAACTATGCTTTATCTATGTTCATCCGTGCGTTTGTATGTGTAAATGGTCTATATGCAAGTAAAATTGAAAAATTCCATGGAAAGTTTGAACCCCCATCGCCTACGCCCATGTCATTTACGTTTTCTGAATATAACCGGTAATTTTGATATACCCACAGAAAAGTAGCTCAAGTGGACTTTCCACGCAGTTTCGACATTACCACCAATCCCGCTTCCCTGCTCCGCATTCCTTCTTAACGCCAAATTTTCTTTACACCGTTCGCTCTCTGTAATACGCATCGCTATATCTTCGCGTATCTCAACGCTATAGGCCCGACATTTTCCGTTCCATCATTCACTGCGTGCTCTCGACTCGTGTCTCTTACGTAATACAAAAAAAAGCAGGTGATCTATATACATCGACGCTTTTTATATAGCTGTTCCAGCCCAGCCTTGTTCAACACGCTACCATAGACATAGAACAGCAGGTGTACATCGCGCGAATGTACAGGACGAGACAGGGACAGCGATATTAGCTGGCGCCACGCTGCAGAGGTTTCCGCTCATGCCGATGGTAATCCGAGAGACGCAAGTTTACACATGCCGTGCGCATTCTTTCGCTCTGTCCCCGTGCGCCCACACCGGATTCGGCGCTACATAAATAAGCATACCAAGCAGTACCGACCCGAGGATGATGAATCGATGATCGGCTTCATGTATAAGCCGTATAGACTAGCGCCACAGTGGGGCGTCATTTTACTAGATAATATGTACCTTGTAGGCCCTGTATTGTGTGAACGTATATAAAGGTAGAAAAAAAGAAACAAGACAAGATATTAAAAATACGACTCACCGTTGTTCTCTATTATCCACCACAGCTCCATTATGAAGGCGCCCAGGTAGACAATCTGAACAAAATAAACGCAAGGTATAAGTTGACATGCGGCGTGCGCAATGGAAGAGCTGTTGCGTTCACTTTCTCAACGCTTACGTATGCTATGTGCACGAAAAACCCCCCAGGCCCCAGCGAAATCAGGACGAAGGCTAGTTACGTGGAGACCTCCAGCCAACGTCAGCCGAAAATATATTTACCAAACTTATTGATTTTATGAATACCCTTAAACTTCCGCAGCGACCCAATCTAGCTTGGTGATGTAGTAGGCAGTGATTTTTTTTTTTTACGAGATTATCAGTTTCTAAGCTCTACGTCTATGCAACGTGTAACCTACTCAACTCAAACTATTTTTTCTTGCTCACATAACCCAATCAACTTGTAAAGCTGGATCAAGTTTTATCACGTTTGTCTCTTCCTACCGACAAGCAGTATAAGAACAGCTCTGCAGTTCCCCACTATATAGCTTTGTTATTTGCATTGTCTGGAACATAAATATGCGAAGGGCTAGCTATTTTTGTGTGAAACAGCCAGCCCACAGAGTTTCAAACAGTAATACGTTCTTGATCTCCCGTTTGTACGGAAGGTCAACATTAATTGAAACTGTCTCGATGGCACAAATCCGCTGGCGCAAATTCGATTCCTTTAGAGAACGCAGACGCCCAATGTACCTGGTGGTGCTATCCGAAAGGTGCTGGTCTTAAAAATCGACCCTGACTTGGCTCCTGTGCGTTTTTTTCTTAGCTCTATGGTTGATAACTTCACTTATTTTACTAAAGACAACATATTTGGCTGCAGGCACATTCTTTAATACCCCTGACACACGGACAAAAGCCAAAATACTTTGCATCAAACTACTTTTGTTACTCTGAAGAATTATTTACAGAAAGAAATACAGCGCCGTTTACCCACGGTAAAGCTACCAAGTTATTTAGGTGACTAGTAGTAGTCTATGTGATTTGATTTGGTGTCTCACATCAACAAAAAAATAATAGATGAAATAAAGAAGGCACCCATTGTACAGACTCCAATCCTCCACACTATGAGCAACGCAAAGGACACTGCTGTAATTTAACATGGTGGGCTGTAGCGATGTGACACCGGTGTACGAAAGGTCATGTCGCTACCTAGACAGTTCATTTTCGGGATGACAGTCACACTAAACATCGCCCAGAGGGCATTGTGACCACACCAAGGGAGCCTAGTCTGAAAGGCAGGATTGCCGAGTTGTGTACACTGTATGCGACAGAACATGCTTTAGGTTCGAAAAGTAGATGTTGGAACTGCTTTCCCACAGTGGAGATTTGCCGGTAGAGAGATGCTCGCTTGACGTGAATCACTGCTCATGAACGCCTTTTCGAAAGATACCCCATTTAGCTCAAGGAATTTAGAGCGCCCACTGTGTCAGGGCTATAACAAGCACTCCCGTTGCACCCACGGGAAATCTTTAAAGCAGGTTTCTCCTACATGAACCCTTAGTGCGGAGAAGTATCCTTCAACGAATATGAGAACACGAAGTGACAGGTTCCCGTAAAATGGCGGTGCTCGCATGTTCATGGTGCGAGGCGTAAACGCACAGCATTTTGAGCTATATTGTGCCCCTGTTTTTGCATTATGCACAAAACTGACAATGATAGTTATCGCGATAACGTGTTTTTCACCAATGATATTATCTCTAAATACAGTTATTGCGAAGGAAGGATGCTTCCGCTAGCGGAAAAGCTTTATTAATTCATATACGCTAGCGGTATTTCCTCGTAGTATAAGAATAGTTCTTCGGGTTTTACTGCTCAAAACATCCACATTATTACGAGCGCTACCATAGGTGGACGTTTCCGGAAATTTCAACACCTGGATTCCCCTGAAGGTGCACCTAAATTTAAGCACTCGAGCCTCTGGCGTATCACCTACATCGAAATGAGGCTGCACGGCCACCATTTGATACCGTCGCTACCGGCTCAGCAGCCGAGTGTCATAGCCACTATAGACCACAGTGGCTGGTCAGTATTTCCTCCTGTGCTTTGAGGAGTATATTTTGCTGCTTCTCGACTTTACAATCGTTAATTTACAATCGTACAGGTTAACTACGAATCTAGTAATTCCGTCTAATTATTTTTTTTGCCGCTCTCTTTATGGTCTCGCGTAATATCACAATATTTTCCACAAACAAACCATAAAAAAACCCACATTAACGAAGACAGATGGTTTGTACATCACTTTGGGCTCTTGGCTGCTATATGACATAAGACCGAATTTAGATTTTTGGACACTAAAGTAAAAAAAACGATTTTTTCCTGCATCAACATGACGTCATAAATTTTGACGGCGTCTACTGAGTTCTACGTATACAGTCTCTAATCAGTAAAAAAATGAAGTACATTAGCGATCTGTGGAAGTCATGTACCTAGCATATACGAAGTTTCAAAAAATTTCATCGAGTCCGAGTCGCGAAAATAGAAAAAATTACGTTTTGAATTTCATGACGTCACGCACGGAGATATCACCGCGAAACTTGAAAAATAAACTTCAACTACATTTAACTTCATTTTATACGCGAATAACGAACTTATGATGGCGACAATTGGGACATCAGAGTTTTCAGTAAATGTACTTTATCAATCTAAGCCGAGTCATTGTTTCACTTTCATCACCATCATCATCATCAGCCTGACTACGTCCCCTGCAGGGACAAAGGCCTCTCCCATGTTCCGCCAAGTCAACGCGGTCCTGTGCTTCCTGCTGCCACTTTATACCCGCATCACATCTGCCCACCTAGCTTTCCGCCTCCCCCTCATCCGCTCGCCTTCTCTTGGAATCCAGTCTGAGATCCTCAATGAGCAGCGGTTATTTTGCTTTCGCGCTACGTGCCCTGCCCACGACCATTTCTTTTCTTGATTTCGGCTACGATGTCCTTAACACCCATTTGTTCCATGATACACTCTGCCTTACTGAACGGTTGTAGCTAGGACGCCCTTCCTGTGTGTGTTTTCGTTTTCTTATGAGTGCGCGTGCGTTTTTTTTTTCTCTATCTACCCCCTCTTTCTTGCCCCTACTTCCCCGCCCCCAGCGCTGGGTAGCAAACCAGATGCCAATATCTGGTTAACCTCCCGGCCTTTCCTTTCTCTCTCTCTCTCTCTCTGCTCTCTTCTTGTTCCATAATGTTACAGCTATCATTTTCCTTTCCATTGCTCGCTGCGTCGTCCTCATGTTAAGTCGTACCCTCTTTGTGATCATTTATGTGTCTGCTCGGTAGATAATTACCGGTAAAATGCAGCTGTTATATACCTATCTGTTGAGGAATAGTGGTAATCTACCATTCATGACTTGAAAATACTCGCCAAATGTGCTCCACCCCATTCTTATTCCTTTAGTTACTACGATCTCGTGATATCGGCTCCGCGGTTACTACCTGTCATAAGGAGACGTACTTTTTTCTCAGCTTCAAATGCACTGCTACCTATCTCGAAGCGCTGCTCTCTTTGGAAGTTGTTGTATACACTGTCTCACTTTAGTATTCCTTTAAGGTCGAGACACTGCCCTTGAAAATTTTCCTGAGCCAGTCCTTCTCCTTCCTCAAGTCGAGTTCTGGAATCATTGCCCATTCTGCTCGAGTGCCGGATCACCTTACAAAGCGCCGCACCGACCGCATACACGACCACGCGAACTGCCACGCGACACAAACGGCGTCTCAAACTGGAACAGCCGGTCGACCTCGCGCGTGACTCCGTTGAGCCGCAAAATATTTGCCCACGGGTGTTATCGGCACAATGGAGCCCCAATAACTTCCGCCACCCTCAGGCACTAGCCGCGGATATCCTGTACAGAGTCTACGGCTTTGTCAGTTTTTCGTCATTTCGGCTAAAGCCAGTGACATGGGACCTATCAGCGTTACCGAGAACCTGAGCGCAGGTCGTCCCAACGAAAGTGTGCCTGGCACCGTGTGTGTACAGCCGCTCTATGAACAGTGTAACTCGGACGGGCTACGCACGGGCCTCTGCGAATTCATTGCTTAGCCTCTCACTCGGCAAGTTTGTTCTCACAAGGTTGCCGCAACGGAGGTCTTCTTTTTCCGATTTCTTTTTTAATAGCTTAATTGTTATTTCGATTTTCTTGTTTCGTGCTGAACCTATACTCAATTTAGATTGTCCTGTTAAGACACTTCTGCAAAGAAACGACAGGAACTAAAAAAAAAAAAAAACACTGAAAGTAGGGGACTTGTGATTTTCTTTCTTCCTTTCCTTTATTTTTCTACATATTGTAACCACGAGCAGATCCTCACTTTATAAAATAGTTATACGACGCTAAAACATGTCAAAACGTGTAAGTCGGCAAGTGCTATCTCACAGAAATCATGAAGCATAACGTAGCTGTTCTATCGCGACGTTACAGATAACGTCTCGAGAAGGTGAGATGATTGCTCATCACTTGCGAAGATTACTAGATATCATCCAATGCAATGAACAGCGCTCGACAGTAAGTGAACCTCGTGGAAAAAATTGTGGAGTATTCTTACAAAAATAGGGCTGAAATGCACGAATGTTTCTTGACCAGTGGGTCGGTCCAAGAAGAACAATTTGAGGTCTCTAAATGAAACAAATGAAATAACTTGTTTCACCTAATGATCTTAAAACAACCTTGTCAGCAGCGACGATTTGACGCGAATTTCAAAAAGAAAAACTGGGCACCTCTAAAATTTACCGTATCATTTTTGTATCGCCATAGTTCACTGCTTACGGGCATGTTTTTGCAGAATTCCATAACTGATTCATTCATTAGATGGTTGATGGAATGTATGAATAGACGCACCGACAGACGGACGGACGGATTGATTGATGGCATATACGAGGATATCGTTATTTCTGTTTTTCAACTTTATGTCCACATCATATGAAGCTAACATACAATTCTACACGGGAACCAATCCCCAGCCAGCGTGGTACCAACGTGTGATATGACTAGATAACATTTGCAGTGCAACAGTGAACGCTGCAGAGCGAACGAACAATCCACGGCCGC